AGGTACCAAACTTATTCTACCATGAAGGGAGAGTTAGTGGACAATGCTCAAGTGGTTGGTTAAATGATGAAGATAACACCATCCTACAGACATTTATGATGCTCAACTGTGAAGTTTTTACACCATATGAGAGGTTATTTTAAAATATAGGGAAATATATACATATACATATAAGAATGTGATTAAAATGTTGTTTCTTGGCAGGATGTTTGAAGAATATATGATAGGAAGTGTCCCTGATATTACTCCTCGTGGAATGCAACAAGCGAAAGACACCCAGTTCGCAACATGGGTGAAAGACTATGTGAGTTGTAGTATATATTCATTTAATTAGTAGAATTATAACTAATAATAATGTTATTGTATTGCAGATTAATGATGCCACTGCATTTTACACTTTTGATATGTGGCTGTTGGATTTTGTACAAGTTCCGAAGCGAAGTTATAGATCTTGGCCGATATACCACTCCCGGGGATATACTTTTCACACTCACAACCACGGTCAAGATAAGAGAACTCAAAATTATGGTGTTTGTGTCCCTGGAACCACTGATACGGATTACTATGGTCTTATAGAAGAAATAATGATGGTAGAGTATCATGGTGATGTTGGCTTGAAAATGATGGTTTTTAAATGTCGTTGGTTTGATACAACGGAAAATCGTGGTATGAGAATACATCTGTTTGGGCATGTGGATGTCTCACCACGTAGACAATATGCAAAATATGACCCATTCGTGTTACCAGGTAATTAAAATATGGATAAAATGATAATTTTGTATTATTAGATTTGTAACGATATTTGTCTTCATAGGTAATTGTGATCAAGCATGTTTCATTCCTTACCTGCGGGTGCGTCGATCTTCAGGAGATGAATGGTGGGCTTGTGCGAAAATATTACCACGAGGAATCCAAGAAACTTCAGAAGTTGTTTTAACCGCATGGCAAGATGATAGACGTAATCAAGTTGCCGAAAGTTCATTGCTACGAGTTGAAACACATGTTGTCGATGATGTCTCGGATTATGATACTGCCCCAGTAATCCCG